TAAAAGATGTGATTTGCATTTATTTTAAGTAGGAACTAATGGTAATTGGAAGGATGAGAAAGAAAGAAGGAGCAAGCAGTTATTTTGACCTACGGGATGAAATCTCAGGAGTGCATCAATCACTTGTAGTTTAGAGGATTGTTGCTGGTGGAAAGAGCTAGTGATATGGCTGATATAGCCAGCCAGCTATTCAGCCATTCATCTGAGAAGCAGCTTTTAATTAATGCTTGCAACTCCTCTGTTCCAAGCATGTTAGTGGAGAAGATGTATGCCTCCAGAGCAGTAGTGTTTCAACCAGGTGTTGTGACACCCTGGAGTACCTTGAGATCCTTTCAGGGGTGCTGCAGGGCGCTATGTGGTGTTAGTACTGTTAGGTGTGCAACCACTATTCACAAGATAGAGAGAGGTAAGTAGCCGTGTTAGTCTGAGGTCAGACAGAAGGCAGGTAGATTTGTACCTTATAGAGTAAGTGCTAGTATTTCTCATATATAACACTTATATAGTATATAACTGCATGCTAATATACCTAATGCTATATATCTCTAATTTAGTTTGTAAGATACAGGTCTACCCTGCCTTCTGTCTCTCAAGATAAACCCAGAGGTTCCACAGAGGAATCTGTAGTATTGAAAACATTCCCACCTATGATCTTTCTGGGTTATTTGCAACAGAATATTTTTTCAGTTATTTTTCTGTAGTGAAAACAAAAATGAAAACTAAGAGCTGGCATTTTCTGAGGGGTGGCTTGAGTAGAAAATGCTTGGAACCACTGTTGTAGGGTTACGTTAGGGATCCTACCTTACTGGACACTTTACCTGCGGGGTTATCAACAAGTTAAATTATCTTTTGAGGAAGAAAATCACAGTTTTCCTTAATGTTGTGAAGCATTTTGGAGTCTGCTTCCACGAGTGACCGTTCTCTACTTGTGCATTGGCAGGTGACCTGTGCTTTTCTTTCCTGGCTGCAGGGAGATCAGAAAGAGATTTGTGTGTAGCAAGATAGGATTTTGCATGGTGGTGCTGTTGGCTTCACTGGAGAGATTCTTTTGGGTTCCTACATAGCACTTACAAGAGGCAGTGTTTACAGCTGGGAGAAGAAGTTATTCGAAAGACGAAGTTTTGTAAATGCTAACAGTTTATTTGCACTTGATTTTTGTTCTCATTCTGATTAAGTGATAACATTTGCAGATAATACTGAGGAGAGATTTTGGTGGACAGATGCCTTCCTCACAGAGAAGCTGGTGAAGCAGCAGTGGTCTGAGTAATCACATAAGACTGTATCTCCCCAAATCATGCAGAACAGTGGTTCCTGCTTTAATCCAAACGAAAATTACCCCCTTTCTCCCTCCTTTATACTCTGCCTTCCCTGTCCCTCCTACTTCTGAAAAAAACCAAAAAATTATTGTGGATATTGTGGAGGAGTTGTTGCCGCCTTCTTTCAGTCTTTTAAAAACACCTGTCTTGGCTTCAAGACATTCTTGTACCAGGCTTTTGGATAGGTTTTGTTATTTTTTTAAAATTCACTTTTAGTTCTCCATTTTTTCCTTTTGTATCCTAATTTTCTCTCTTATTTCTCTGCAGTTCTTTTTCAATGATGCATGTGAACTACAGTATGCTTGACCAGTTCTGCTGTTCTGTATGACCTTGGGAGATTTATTTATGTTGCTTTATTTTCTCATGGATCAAGACTCCAATTTTAGTCACGTTCCTTCACCTTCCTGCAAAATCACCTCCAACAGTAGTGGATAGAGCTTTGATATAAAAGGTGTTTTAACTGTGTCTGGAACTGAGCTGCCATAGATCTCAATAAGCCCCTTCAAGAACTGAAAAAACATTGTTTTTATTTGCAGACTTGTTACCTGTCTCTCCTTTGCTATAACTTTGGAGTGGAAACATATGAGCAGAAGAGGTATGAACAGAGCTCCTTCTGGCTCAGGTAATGTGTAAAGAAAAACTATGTGAAAAGCCTATTTCTGAGAAGAAAAAAAATGTGGCTGAAGAATAGAGAAAGGGAAACCCAAAATATTTTTAGTTTTGGGATTTAATAAAAAAATGGAAAACAATGAAAAACTTCTTAAAAATAAAAATTCTCATTGTTTAAAAAAACAGACCAACCATTTTTTCACAAAAATTGAGAATTTTCAGCTAGCTCTGGTATGAAATTAATTAGTTTAACACTCTAGCTGCCAGTCAAAGCAGAGCTTTATGCTGGTAATTGCTCCATTTTCAAGCACATTCTTAAATTCATATTTTGTTGCCTCACTTGCACATCACTGCTTTGCATGGATTTTCATATTTCTAAAAGGGGCCTTGTTGCATGCAGAAGTTATATTCATAGTTCTCCTTATTTGCAAACAAACTGCTTAGAGATGCAAAGAGAACCTGATGTAGGAGGACTGTTTCCAGATATTGTGCCTTTCATAATGCAGTGGTATATTGCTACATTTGAAGGGAAATGAAAGTGTTGAAAAATGCTGAAAATATCTATTTTGCCAGTATTACATCTATTTCTTGTAAATAGTCTTTGATTTTTTTTCCCGAAAGCAGATGCCCAACTATAAGCCCTAATTGTGTTGTTGGTGAAAATTACCTTGTTTCATGTATTAGTTCTCCTTGCTCTAGTGCTCTCAGTCACATTCACTGGCACAGAGCAGCTCCACAGCAGGCTTGGATACCTTTTCTGCCCACCTGCTGTCACAAGTGACCTTGAGTTATCACATTGTTGACAAACTAGAGAGAATCCAGAAATTAGCAACAAAAATTATTAAGGAACTGGATTTATTGGGATGAAAGATTAAGTGAGTTACATCTGTCTATTGTGGCTAAATGAAAACATGCTAACTACCTACAAATACTTACGGTATGTAAACTCTGTGGTGGGAAAGGAGGTTTCAGAAGTGGGTAAGTTAAGGTGCAGGGAAGTAGTGTATGAAGATTAAAAAAGAAAAGGAAAATTCAGGGTATCAGGAAAAATCCTCCTCAGAAAATTAGAAACCCTGTTTTTTAAAAATGACCCGTATAAGAAATCGAGTTGATGGTGTTCCTTCTAATCCCAAACATTAAGGTTGTATATGTGGAATCAGGGAAGGTATGTGGCAGTGTACAGTCTTAATTAAGGCTGATAGTTTGTTCTCTTTCTTGTAGTAGATGGGGCACTGAGTGCAGAAAAATGCCCCTGAGAAAATCTGAGTATGAAATCAATCTTCCACAAAATACCAACATTTTCTGGACAGAATGATTTGACACCCTCTAGTGGGGATAAGGTTATCTCAAAATGAGAATATTATCAGATCTGGAAACACATTCCCAGCAAGACTGTTTTTGTTTTTAAATCCCTAGTTCTCTCTTTGTACCACTCATGTACCACATGTTACGGAGCTTTAATTTTCTGGTGTTAACCTCCAAGCCCGTCTGTGCTGTGTTTAGTTTTTTTGGAAAATACTGGGAATCAAGTATTCTAGGTTCTGTTTCTGGCTCTGCTGCTGACTTAACTGTAATCTTGGCCAATATTACTTGATCCTCTGTATCTTAGTTTTTTCACCTATCAGGTCAGAACGGCTGTCTTTACCTACCTTAAAAGTGGGGAGTGGGTCAGGATGTATCTGGAACATAACTAAAATTGGAGTATAAAGGGCCACAAAGGACTGATTTAAGTCACAGGGCTTTACCACAAAATGCCTAGTCTGTGGTAGATGCCCTTGTGCACATTCTTACTGTATGGTATGTGGAAGCAAAACCATGGTAGCTTCCTCCTCTTTCATTAAGTCAGTAGGCTACCATGAGTTAGTTTCCAAATGCTGCCAGCCAAGATCATGCAAGTGGGCAGTTACTGTAGTATAGCTGACCTGCAGTAAAGGCCTACTCTTTTGTAGTCATGGTAATTTTTTTGTATGTAATATATTAGGGATGTCAGAGATATGGAACCATATCATCTGGCCCCATTGCTCCCTGATTTTTTCTGATTCTAGTTTTCCTTTATCAATGGTAGCCAGAGCTATGAAATTGGGAAGATGGATAAGAGATACTCTACTGGGCAAGAAATGCAGGTAAGAAATATATATAGTTAGAAGCTTCTGAACTACTAACGCATCAGTAGGAAGATGTAATTATTGCCATCACTTTAACCTTACTGTGTAGCACACATTGTCTCCACAAAGCCTGTCTGGAGTGTGCACAACTGCACCAGAGGTTCTTAGTCATGATTTTCAAAAGTGTCTGATAGCTAGACTGCAGAATTGAAGTATCATTCAATTGATACTTCATCAGATCCCAGGTGCAGTCAGAGAGAGCAGAAATTGAAATTACAGCCTTAATCACATTTGCATTTAGGTTTTTATACAGATAAAATGTTAGTACATTGACACACTATACCAGCTAGCATCTCTGGAGAAGAATTACAGCAGAACCCAGAGCAGTTGTATTACTGCTATTAGAGTACTGTGTCCAGTTGTGGTATCCACACTTTAGGAAGAATCTGGAAATAATGGAGACAGCAAAGGAGAGCCATAAAAATGGTTGCTGTCCTAGAAAGCAAGACTTTATTGGATAAAGCTTAAAAGCTCAACTTATTCTTGTTATTGGAGAGACATTTGGGAGGTTACTTGATGACCTGTATTGTGTATTGGAACTTGCGTATGGAGAGGTATGATAGAGGAGGACTTTTCAGCCTTGCTGACAAAAGCATAACAAATGCCAGTGGTGGGAAGATGAAGTGAAGCAAATTCAACCGTAATATCAGAACATGTTTCCCAGAAATGAGGGTAGCCCTAAAACTGGATACTAGGGAAGATGGTGAACTACTGCTGCTTACAGTTTTTAAGACAAAACCAGATGCATTTCTAAATGAGATGTTTTAAGTTAATTTCTGGGGTGAACCTTAAGGCCTTCTTATGTGAGAATTGGGGATGCATAGTCACGGTTGTCCCTTTGGCTTTGGAATCTGTGAGTCATGGGCCATGTGGAGAGCAGGGTTTCCTGTATTTCCATCAACATACTTAAGACTTGAGGCTTGGCATAAAGCCACTGATTATAACCACATTTTATGCTCAGGGTTTTAACTACTTGTATGCAGGGGTCAGGAAGAATGATCTCCCTTGATGCCCAGTTAGCATAATTCAGTGTGTGCACACGTGTGTATGTGTATGCATGTGTGTATTGGGGGGTGGGGTCAGACACATAGGAGATTAGAATATTGGATGGGATGGACCAGTGATCCAGGGTGAATTTTTTTTTTTTCAGATGCCTACCTGGTGTGTCTTGCTCAGGTGTTCAGCATCATTCTGATAACCAGATTTGGGGTCAGGGATGAAGTTCCCTGCAGGTCCCGTACATGGAGACTTTTGCATTTTCCCAGTTCTTCTGAAACATAAAGGCTTGGTTTGCTGGCTAGGATTATCTGGGTATGTTTCACCCAGGGCATGTCTACACGTGCTTTTTACGTGCACCTAAACTAAATACGCATTTGTCTAATGCACATCATGGCAATTTAGACATGCGTCTATACCTGCACACATTAAGGCGTATTAATGAGGTGTGTGGACCGACTTGGAACTAAAGTTAGTCCCAAGTAAGTCGACATAGAGAGCATTAATGTGCCTTAGTGCATCTACATGTGCATTAAGGTGCTTTAGCTATTTGTGCCTAAATTTGATACCTGCTTTTGCAGGTGAATTTAGGTGTGAATAGCCTAAAATTGTGATTTTAAGGCGCCTTAAGGGTGTGCATGTTTAGACCCGCAACCTTAAGTGCCTTAAAAATGGCTAATGTGCCTTAAATCAGCACGTGTAGACACATCCCCAGTTCTCCTCTTCTCTGCCTGTAATGCACAGAAATGTTTTTTTTCTGAGGATTGAATTGGTTTAAATAACTAGAGGGATTGGGCTCACTATAGGAGGATCTGCATGAAACTTAATGGTACTTGGTATACAGGAGGTCAGATTCAATGGTGTACTCATTGTTTTGGCCTGTATCTCTATGACACCAAGAGGTTTGTCTTTACTGGGAAAAGTGGTCATGGAAAGTCAGATATTGTGAATATGTGTTAGCAGAGCCTGACCTAAATTCACCCTTTCCCTTAGGGCAGATCAACCCAGAACTTGACCAAGTAAATTGAGCTAAAGGTTCTCTGAATCTTCACTAGGAAAAAGGTCAAGTATAGGTTAGGCTTAGCCACCAGCATCCCTTGTCAAGACAGCCTGAGAAAATACATGGATGCAATTATTTGTGTAGTCCTTAGCATCCTCAATCAAGGAACAACACATTATGCTAGGCCTTTTACAGCCAATTAGTAAAAAGATAGGCCTTTGACCTATAGAACTTCTTGTCCAAACATTTATGTTTCAGCATCTCATTTTTCAGCCCTTTGTGCAGTATTCAGGTGCCATTCATGGTTATTCTGCTTAAATATACATTTTGTCCTTTTTTCTAGGCTAAAGTTCTGCGGTTATTAGCCACTGTCTACTTGGAATGGGATTGCAAGGTGTATCAAGACAAGGCTCTGCAGGCTATAAGCTTGGCTAACAAGGTCGTAACTTCCTGTAATGTCTAATCCACACAGTAGCTAACCTCTTTTTGGTCTGTTTGCCTAATAATGGAATGTGATAAATTAATCACTAGAGTGTCTCAGTTGAAATCGGGGGAGTTGCATCAGAGGTGACTTCGACATTGAGTAATAGCTGTGTTTTCTTTACATCAGTTGCCATATTCATAAGCTCATATTGCGCTGGTGGCTCTTGCTGTAAAGCAGCACTGCTGAGTTTTACAGGTTATGCATCTGTTCCTGCTGTGTATTTCCATCTGTAATGGACTCCTGTTGATCATGATGTGGCTGGCACTTTTCTGGCATATACCCAAGAAAGCTGCATGTGTTAAGTGGACTTCAGTAGCGGTTCATGTGAGATTTGGGAACTTGGCTTTTCAGATGCCAGACTGGGAAACAATAAAACGTTGGACTTGTAGAAATTCTCTTTGTCAGTTAATTTCATGCTTCTGTCCCATCAGATTAACTGGTACAAATTAAATCATGGTAGCATTTGTCTTTGTTTACCCATCATTTACCATGAATTTCTGTATTTCCTTCATTACGATTAAAATTGCATCGCACCAAAATCCCAACATCATCATTGAGTATTTTGGATTTAGTCATGTTGACTGTTTTCACAGAGTATTTCACCAGGCTCATGAATTATGGCAGCCCTGAGTACTAGTGAAGCTGTGGCATTTTTCAACTTTTGTGAAAATAATAATAATCCTCCCCAGCGTTCCAAAATCATTTCATGCACATTCCATCATTGTTGTTTGAGCTGTCTGGTTCTGTAAGCATGTTAGAGTCAGAATTACTAATTGGTTGGAGGGAGCTTGACATAGTGAAAAAGGGCACAGGACTGAGCATCAGAAGACCTGACTTAAACCACAGGCGGGGGACAAGCTAATTTGGCCTCACTGCAGACTTTCAGGCCCTCTCTGCTGTTGTTTGGAAGTGCTTGAACATGTTTGAGTGGATCCAGCTACATCAGATTTCTGTGTTTTGATTTTGAGCTGTCCTCAGAATCTTTTTGGTAGCATAAAATTAAGAAACAGAATAAAAAAACATAGACATCAAGTTTGTCATGAGTAATTATCACCTTCTGGGAGGAAAGATTACTATTTCTCCAGAAGAAAAGATTACACTTATTATTTATGGCCCTATCACTTCAGAAACTCAAGCTTAGACTGGACAGTACTGTATGTTGCGAGGACTCTAATAGGAGCTAGCTAAAATTGTTCTTTGAGTTCATAAACAATTTGGCTGTCCAAAATAATGCTTTTGTTTCTTAATGTGCAGGAGAATTTGCATCCAGCTGGGTTTTTCTTGAAAATTCAAATCCTTCTGAAAAGTGGAGCAGCTGATGAAGACCTCAGTACAGGTATCACAGTTCTGTGTTTGATTCAGAACAGGATCATAATATTCCATGCCCAAGAAACAAGGCTAAATGTTGTTAGGGCAAGAGCAAAATCACTGCACAGTCTACTTCAGGAGAAAGGGACTTAATTTGCCAAATGTCACAGTCTGGTTTTCGGGTATGTGTGATGTGGAAATCTGTCTGATATTACTATAGCATCATGGGAACGCTGCTGCAATGAAATTTTGAGTTGGAAGAAAAAATGTATTTTGTAGTTGATTGAGAGTTTAAATGCATTTCCCCAGGGAGGACAGACCCTGGAGCTTGTGAGAACTAAAAGATAGAACAGATGCAGCAGCGTAAGCAGTGAAGAGTGAATATGGTGTCAGTTACTGAAATAGTCCTTCCTGTTCAAGGATGAGGCACAGGTTCAGGGAGAAACATAAAGAGGAAGCTTACACTATTGCTGCCTGTTATGCTTTTGTTTTGAGTAGACTGAGGACTTATGTCCCAGAGCTGTCAGCTTGGAACTCTTCATTAGTACCAATTAGAAACGAAAGTGAAAACATGAGGAATGAGAAGGCAAGGGACATGAGCAAGCAGTTCATTTTCCTTGATGTGTCAGTAATCTTTACTGTTCCCTCCTCTTTCTAGCTATTGCTGAAATTATGCACCACGAGGTATCTTTAGATTTCTGCTTGAACACTGCTAAGATGCTGCTGGAACACAACAGGTAGTGGAACCTTCTTATCCCCTGTATCAGAGGGAAAACATGTTGTTTTTCCGAGATGAATGATTCCTCGCTATTTGAAATAACGTTTACCATCAAATAACAGTGAACAAGTAAAGAGGTGCCATGACTGAAATTTTCAAACGATATAAATCATTAAGGCTAGTTTATGAAAAAATTGCAATTTACAAGTCTTTAGAACCACATCTCCTTTTAGAGATGGAGAGGTTATTCACTGTGCTTTTTAGCTTTAAAAAAAACCCCCCTCAAAATATTTTATGTATATAGAGAGAGGAGAGATGGGTGATATTCTCTGGTTTGTTAAAGTCTCTTTGCACTGTGCACTAACTGGCCAGAGAAAGCCACTGGAGAGTTTCCCACAGGCAAGAGAACTTTTTGCTAGTGGAAACTGGAAGAGCAGGGTGTGCCATCTCCTGTACTAGCCAGCCACTCCACTTCCCAGCATAGGTGGGTCAGGGCTGTGCATGTCAAGAGCATGCCATGCCATGGAACGTCCTGGGAGGGAGACATGGTATGTCTTGTTTTCTGTTGGCATGAATATGACTGTCTCCATTTAGCTGTAACTTGTGCTGGTGGGCGTCAGCAGGCTCTGAATTATGAGACTGCAACTGGCTGCCTACCAGTTTCCCTCCAAGTTGTCCAACCACTGCTCAGAAAGAGTGAGCAATCCATGCCCATGTGATGGTGGGGGTTTTTTTTTCAGGTGATGTGATACTGCTGTTTAGGGCCTGCTTTAAATTTTCTTTACAAATTTCTCGTCAAGTCTGCCTACTTCTCAGATTTGGCAGCACTGTTGTGTAATGGGCTGCGGGATATTTTGGTACACTAGTAAGTAGCTAGACAAAACCAAAACAGAAAATATTTTTGGTCAAATTCAGTATCTACCTCTGTCATTACTTGTTCAGCTTTAGTAGTTTTCTTGGTAGGGACAAATTAGGATAGAAGACCAACATGACAAATAATGTTACAGAACATGTTTACCTAGGAGTGTCTCTAGATGATTGGTGATCACCACACCTTTGGGAGAATAATAAGATAGCTAGTAATGCACTTCAAATGAATGTCTAGCCACTCTATTAAGAGCCTTCCTAGGGATTAACACTTACTCTGCAAGGCTATATCTTTTGGCATTTGCCTTGATGGGCCCTGTAACAACAGGCATGGTTCTTATGAGGGTGTTGCAAAGTGCTCCCTTCTTTCAGGGTTTGGGCACTTTACCCCATAGTGCTTCTAGTTCCTTCCCATGATGTACTGAGCATAGGGCTAAACTCTGAGTCCATGTGTGATAGCATAGCTGCAAATAAGATTCCCAATGGCCTAAATCAAAAACTGAAGGTTTTGAAATACTGATCTTGCTGCCTGCAGTTTTGGAAACAAAAAAAGTAAGAGTCTGGATGATAAGAAATGGCTGTAAGTAAGGAAGTTCCATTTCCTCTATTTTCACTTTTTGTTTCTGGTTTTGAATGCATAAAGCTATGCAGAACAGTGTTTTAACTTTACTTATAGCTTTCATTATTTTGTGGGCTTTAATTAGTCTTTGATTTTTTTTTAAATGTATGTGTTCATGGGTTAATGCAGCAGATTTATCCTGGGGCCAAATGAATGGTTACTGGTTAAAGAGCCAGTTCTCACACTGATCTGTGGAACACGTGGGGTGCGTGGTCTCTATCCTTGTCATCTTCAGAAGGGTGTATTTTCAGTCAGGCAGGTGGCATTGGATACTTGATATAGGAAGGGGATATTTCTCTCATTAGTTGCTCCACAGAATTAAAGAACTGGAGTATCTTTCTCTAATTAGTTGCTCCACAGAATTAAAGAACTGGAGAACAACTGAGTTAGGTTATCTGGATTCTTTTTTGTGAGAAGTAATCTGAGTGAGAAATGTATTCCGTGGGTGTATGTGTTAGTTCCCAGAGGAGAAAGCTAATAGCTCTTTCACAAATGCATCTTTGTGAACAGGGAGTTGGTGGGTTTTGATTTTCTGAAGTCTGTTGCTGGGCGATTCGAGTCCTCGCCTGACCTTGGAAAGGTCATCCTGCTCCACATCGAGTTCCTGTTGCAAAGAATGAGGGAGCCACTTGCCAAGCAGAAGATCGAAGACATCATTACAGGTTTGTGTCTGTCCAGCGCCTGCTGTCATTTGCTGAAGACAGGGATGAATTGGCTTAAATATTGAATCTGTCTCTTCCTTCTCATTACCCCCTACTTTCCTCCATCCTTTTTTCCCTGTTTCTCTTACTTTCTCTCTCACAGGCTGTCTCTGACTTGTAAAGAATAGCAACAATAACAGAACTAGATTTATTTCTAGCACAGGCCCTTCTCTGTGATTAGTCTGGGTAAACATACATTTTAGCTGCTTTAAAAGGGTGGGGGACACTGCTGCTAGGTAGTGAGCAACAGCAGTTACAAGCTGACTGGTGTTTCCACAATCCTGCTGTGACACAAGTTAGCTAAAACACTGCAACTTGAGGCTATTGATATCAGTGCAGTTGTTAAGTCCATCTATAGTGAGGGTGACCAGTAAGAGGGAAAGGACATACTGACATTTCTGCACAGTGCAGAGGCATGTGTCGCAGACTAGTCCTATCATTGTTAAAATGCATTGAGTGCAAATCCTTGTTAGACACCTTAATGAACCTGAATACATGTACTTAGCATCTGTATCTCTCATTATCCTCTTTGGCTGCTCACAACTGTAGAGAAGGAGGTCACTTTTTATTTAGAGGCCTAACTACAATGTTAGGAGTTTAATTTTGGGCTTTTAAGTTAAAAAGTGGCAGTGTGTGTGTGAAATGCTGTGTTTTTCCTCCAAAACGGCTGGAGGGCCACTTAGCAAGTTTTAGTGAGCTGTCCAGGGCCACAAGGGTAGCCCCGCCCCTTGACAGGTTCCCTGCCCCCCTGATTGCCACCTTGGGACTGGAAGTCCCACCCCTAACCTCTGACCTTTGCCACTAGAAGTTCCTCCCCTTGCCCCCAGAAATACTTCTTTTGGGAGGGGTGTTTGCCATCTTGGAACCCCACAAAAAATCGTATACTAAAAATCAAACATCTACTATAGCATAATTTAATTTAATTTTTAATTTTTTTCCCTGATTTACATGTGTTTGCATAGTTTATAGAGGTGATTGCATTATAGCTCAAAATAGTCTCATAATAGCTCAAAATAAAGTCTTATATATTGTATGTGGGGGGAGTTGGGGGTGTGTGTGGGGGGGTTATGGGAGTGTGGGGTATTTGTGTGTGGGATTTGTGGGGTGGTGGGGTTTATGGGTGTAAGTGGGTGTGGGCCTCTCTCCACCATGGTGCACAGCTTCCTCTGGCGGCAGCAGCAGCAGGAACAGCAGGCAGCGGGCCCTTGGGGTGCTCATGGCCCGCACCAGGCAAAGCCCCCCAGTGGCATGTGGCTCTGGCTGAGTCTGGGCAACTGCACATAGCAGCACAGAGCCCACCTGGCCCACCGGTGTGCACCTTCAAACCAGACCAGGTTGGCTGCAGGCCAGCATGTGGTGTTCCCAGCACTGCAGGTGGGAGCTGCGTGCCATTGGGCCATCGGGCCGTTTCACCCCATGCCTCCATGTGGGGCTTTCAGCACTCCAGCAGGGAACCACATTTGGAGGCACAGAGCCTGCCTGGCCGGATGGTGTACAGATGGGTGCCACGGAGAGCTGTGCGCCATTGGGCCAGGTGGGCTCCATGCTGAGTGCCGAGAGCCCCATACCATCCTCCCTCCCCCCCTGCAGGCAGGAGCTCCCCTCCCCACTCACCAGCTATCCAGTCACATGCCATCACGCTCAGTGCGTCCCCGTGGGGGTCCCAGCTGGAATGCTGGAAGCCCCATGGAGGTGGAAGCACAGAGCCCATCTGGTCTGATGGTATGTGACCTCTGAAAGCCCACCTCCTGTCAGCTTTCAGAGGGGCAGCCACGGGCTGGTAGTAACTGTTTTTTGGAGGGGCCCCATGGGCTGGATAGAAGGGCTTGCTGGGATAAATCCAGCGTGCAGGCCATATTTTGTCCACCCATGGTCTAGGAGATGGCAGAGCTACAAGTCACTACCTCCTTGGCTGGAGCTCTTGTTAAGTGTTTGACCACATTGTTTGTGAGTCTAGTTGTCAGCATAGCCTGTCGTCCTCAGATAATTCTAAGGTGTCTCTCGCTCTTCTCAGGTCACTACACAGGAAAACAACTGTCAGCTGAAACACTGAACCAACTGCACATCATTCTGTGGGACAGAGCTGCCAAGAACTATGAGGTTTGGGACTAGATGGGAACTTTGTTCTTTTCTTAAAAGACAAGTGGGTTACTTTTCTTGGCTTGTTTCCTGTGTGTTGTGTCTGTTCCTGGTTGGAGATAAATAATCCTAAATTTGCTGCTCCAACTGGAGTTTGCTTTATTTCTAGGCAGCAACTTACTCTTTTACATCACATTTAGCAACCCAAGTGTGGTCTTGTTTTAGGATTTTTGCTCAGGAGTATAATTATTGCCAGACTAGATTTAGCTGATAAGTCCATCACTACCTGATGATTCAGAAGAGGGTATAGGAACCTTATAATAAATAATTCACTTAGCAAATAATCTGCCTGTGGATAGTCACTTTCCTAACCCCTATCAGTTGATGATGGACTAATGAGGATTTTTTTCCCTTTAGCTTATGCAAGGTATTGGTGGATATTTGCATTATTTATATCAATATCCAATTCTTTTTTTGAATTGTCAAAAACTCTTGGACTTAGTGATGTTTTGTGGCACTGAATTCCATTGATTAATTATAGGCTGTGCAGAGAAATATTTTTCCTTTAGCAGCCTGGCCATCTGCTGCCTTTTTTGCTCAGTGCCTCAGCTTCCCAGATGATATTTCTGACAGATGCATTCATTTTTGTGCAAGAAGGTAAAAGTTTTGTTTATGTCCCTGAGTTTAAGTGAATTTTAAAGGGCTCATAATTCTTTAAACCCCACTTATAGAAACAGAACATTACAGGGACAGATGAAAATGGATCTTTTAATAATACCCATGTAACCCAGAGAGTTATCATGAAATAACCAAGGATTGGTAGCTTGTCAACTGCTCTCTGGGACTGCACATGTGTCCATACTTACTCTGTGGTGAATGAAAGCGAAATTGTGACAGCTAACCCCTCTTTCACTGGGGGTTAAGTTTTCGCACATTGGCTTCCATTCACCACAGAAGAGGCAGAGGGGTGCTGCAGACAAGTCACCCATCCTGCAAACCCTGATTAATTTCAAAGCAGGTCTGTTCTAAGCAGTGAATGAGGCAGGGTCCTACTGCATATACATCTGTGTAATTAAGAAAGAACAGTCAGTCATATAATTGAGGGCTCTGATCGTATTACATGAGGAAACTCAGTTTCTTGACTTTGCAACCATGATAATGTTTTGTAACATAGCATTTTATGTCATTTTCAAGGCTTTTAAAAAAGCAAACTGAAGAATGCAGAAATTCCATCATGTAGCTTCAGGCTGATATAAGATGGGCTGTTAGCAAGACTGGAATCCTCATATTCATCACACAAGTTCCTGCCACTGGAACTAATAGAGTAACTCACATCAGTAGCAGGTTTCATCCTTTCTGTGGACTAGCATGAGAGTGGGATGGTACATTCACCTTGCCAGTGGATTTCACAGCTGTTTGCTGACAGCAGAGGACTTGTGAGACTGCAGACTCTAGGGTCCCTCCCAGGATTTAGAAGCGTCTGTGTTCTAACAAGCACAGATTCTTCTGCCTCTTACCCAGAGTTTGAGCCCTTCTTCGCCATCTCCTCCAATCTGATCCTGGTCCAGTCCCATCTCTTCCTCACTCTTGGCTCATGGACCCAGTCCTGTTCTTGTCTACCTAGACCCAGTCTCTAGTTCTTAGCTTCTTATTCTAGTTCCTGTCTGCTTGTCCAGCAGCCTTTGTCTCTTTCTCCATGCTTGGTTTAAGTCCAAGTTTTCCTCTCCATTCCTGGTTTCTTACCCTCCACATCTAGTTCTACTCTTCTTGCCCAGTCACTCTGTTCTGCCTTTGTTCCTTATCTGCTCAGTCCCTCCCTTCTCTGTCCTCTGGCACTTTAAAACTGCAGAAATGAGGAAAAGACAAGGTGCTTCAACCCAAAATTATTTCAAATTAGATTTACTTAGTAATGAAATGCAGTAACATGCTGGTAAATATAGCAGCTCCATGAAAAAAACCTGTTGTTCATTCCATTAGAGCTTAGATAGCTGTGTGACCTTCCTGAGGAATGTTCCAATTATGGGGATTTTCAGAACAGCTAAATGATCCCCTGATCATATGTTTGTTCAACACTGCGCCTCAAAGAAACTGTGGAAAGACAATTCTTCAGTCATTTACGAGGACACTAAATTCCCACTGCCTGAGGAGCACTGTTTAGGAATTACCTAATATATATGAACAGGCACGTACATAAGGAAAAACTGTTACCTATATACAAATTATAATTCTTTAAGGTGTATTATGCACACGCATATTCCATGACCCTACTACTGTGGCACATAGCATTGTCAAGATTGTGATGGCAAAGAAATTGAGGATTGGTTGGAGTGGCCAGAACTATTTATTTTCTTGCACAAGGATGTTTGTGATGAACACAGAACCCCAAAAATAACTGCATGTCACTGCTGCCTCAAGTACACTGGACAGCCACCCACTTTTGGTGAAATACAGGGGCAATTCTTTATTGGGCAAAAGTTGCCGTTACCTCCCATTCCATTACTTGCTGTGGATCATAAGGGGACCATTTCTTTCTTGAGGCACTGATTCTGTTTCCTATTTGTGTCAACTCTCTACAAAAGAACCCATCTTTTTACTGGATCATTTGGTGCTGTTTGAGTGGAAAAGGTTACGTTAGAAATGGTGGTTGTATTTAACATGTGTGATTATCTGAATATTTTGGTTGGTCCCTCTGAAGTCTGTAGTTTAGCCTAGGAAAATGTAATTTAGACACCATTGGACTTTTTTGTTTGTTTTTAATTTTCTAGGCAAAAAACTACCCTGAAGCTCTTCAGTGGTACAACTATTCTCTCAGCTTCTATTCATCTGGGCAGATAGATCAGAATTTGGCTAAGCTGAAGAGGAACATGGCTTCCTGCTATCTTCATCTGAAACAACTTGAGAAGGTACTTCATTCATTCATTCATTCATTCATTCATTCATATAGCAGTGCCATTGGGCCTTGATTAAAAATTCTGAAAGGGCAAAGTCATTTCCAGAGGTGCAGGATTACCCCAGCAGTCAATGCTAATGTTTTAAAATAAAGCTTTGTATCAATTTCAGTGGACTAAGTGGGTCCATGTGACCCAGTCATTTTACAATGTTAAACAGTTCCTCAAGGTTTGGGAACTGGAGTAGAGAGCCCTTAGCCTGCTTAGTCATGAACAAGCAATCACCATAAAATCTTTTTAACCTTTCATTAAAGATACAGAAGGAAGGAAGAACAAGTAAAGCATTTGAAATAAAGTATAATATAAGGCTTTCATTTTAACATCATCCCCTTTGCCCCTTCTCTTAGCAGGAGAGAATTTTTATAGGGAAATCTGCATTTTTGATAGATGGTATTAAAGGTATCATAAACAGTCCTTTTTAGGGAATGAGAAAGTTTGTTGAGATGGGAACTGTTGTAGGACTCTCATCCTGCTTCATGGAAGACAGAACAAGAAAAACACAAAAGGGGGGAAGAGCATGGAAACGTAGCAAGGATAGAAAACCTAGGTTCTGTTTCTGGGGCTGACTCCCACTTGCAAACCTCCCTGTTGGAGAAAGAGAGTCTATGCAAAGTCTTATCAGCCATTCTAAAACTTGACAAACTTGTAGCAGGGTCAGGTTGCTTAAAGTATTGTTCATTGCTTTCTTGCTGGTCATTGGCTTAGCCCTACATTGCAAAAGATGCAGTTTTGGCTAAGTCAGAATCCTGTTAAGCAGAAGGAAAAAAGGAAGAGATAGAAGAAATAAGGTAGGGAAGGAAAAGGAGACCTGAGGGAGGAAGTAACAGCAGAAATGCAAGTTTCACTTTCCTGGTTGTTTTCTGGGCTCAGCCAGAGCTGATGCAGTTGACAATGTCATCAGTGTTCTTCTCTTTGTCTTGTCCATCTCTTCAGGAGCTGTCAGGATGTGGCCCAGTGGTGTTGTGGTGGGTCCCCAGTGCTCAGGACACAGTGTGGGTGGTAGCTGTGGTAGTAGACCTCTCTCCTTCCAATGGACTCATTCTCCTGTGTCCTATCAATTGCTGAACCACAAAAAAGTGAGGGGTAGAACAGCCCATTCTCTCAGTATTTTGCTCACTAGCTCAGTCAAGCTTATGATGCACCAGTTTTGATCCATTGATTTCTTGTCCTGACTTAATGTAATCACAATGGCTGAAAGCCTCAGGGTAAAGGTACTTAGCTAGGGGGTCAGCAACCTGAAGTTCACTGATAATGCTGATCTGCTGGATGCAGAGAATAAGAGTTTTTAGAACCAGGTGGATGCCCTTCATAGGAGGACTGAATCAGCTGTCTGCCACAGGAGAAGGGAAGAGACTTATGCAAGCATTAAAATAGGTAGGTGCAAGGTGTTGTCACGGACAGCTTAATTTACCTGGGAATCCACATCAGCTGGAACAGTATATTTCTGGTGCAGGGTACCTTAGATGGCCTGATACTGGTTGGGGGACAGTAGACTCTCCCAAGGCACAGAAATCCAACTGTTCAAGTTGTACATGTTTGCACTCCTGCTGTATGTGGCAAAGGCATGGATCTTCAAGGAGACCCACACATGAAGATGCTGACCTTTGAAGTGAAATTTTATGTACCATTGTTTGTGGTCAGTTAGCAGGAACATGTCAGAAATCAGATGATCACAAATAATCAGTACAAAAGAGACATTTGAGGACACAGCAATGAAGAAGAAGCTCTGGTTGTTTTGTGACATCTGCCAGATGGAGATGATCACCTGCTAAAGGTTGTGCTCAGCCTGGTAGAGGGCAGCAGAACGGGAGGCAGACCATGCTACTCTGGCTAGATGACATAACAGAATGGTACAGTATGGTGAAAATCAACAGATTCTAAATGCTGAAGCACAAGACAGAGACCAGTGAAGAGTTAAGAGACTGTCCTCTAAAGTTATCAGGCTGTGGGTGAGAGGAAGGTGCGTTCTTCGTTCACCAGCCATGATTTCAGGACAGTATTTGGGTATTATTCTTAGGCATTTTTGCTTGGATTAATTCCATTTTTAACTTTTTCTCACTTTCATATAACTTTCCATTATTCAGTTTCTTGAAGTCTGTCTTCAAGGAACAAATGTACTTTTCTTTTACATGCCTTTGCATGGCTGCTGCTGGGTGCTGTACTGATAAAAAGGAAAGCATGACTTCTGTCATAAATAGTTTCCAGTCAAAGCTAGACAAAGGATTGAGGAAGGAGAAGGTATCCAGCAGATAAATAAAGTGGTAAAAGTGGAGGTTGGCCACATTTTGATCATACAGTGTTTTTGATACTAAAAAACATTTAAAATAGAAGAGCACAAGTATCCCAGTTGCTACTTGCCCTGGCCATTATTTGTTAGGTCATTTATTGAGGGCATTGTGATAGAATATTTTTTTCAAAGAGGCCACTGTTAGAAAGATTAAACATCCTGACTGCATCATTGGCAGAGCAGTCAGTCAGGAAGCAATGCAAGTGGGCAGGTAGAGAGGGCTTCAGAGAGCAAGAGGATTGAGCCTAATACAGTGGAAAAGCTATCACTACAGCAAGGCCACCTTGGTGTTAGTTGTGAATAGATTGTTTTATGTAAAGCCAGTCATCAGACCTCTTAACTGCAAGCAATCTCAGTAACAAAATGATTGAACTGAAGTTTGCACAGTAAAGACTGCTGTAAAGACCAAGAAAAGCAAATGAAATGAGTGCCTCTTGGCATAACAGCTAGCAAGACTCGGGAGACCCCCAGCTAGTATCTTCATCCAAACCTAAAAATCTTTCAACTCCAAATATGCAGGTTATAAAACCAACCCCACTTTTTTCTAACTTCAGACACTGTCTTAGGCACTTGCTTTACAAAGCCACTAGATGGGGCTGGAAGTTCTGCTTGTTCTCTATTAACACTTGGTGGTTAATAGAGCCAATTATGTCTCTGATCCCGAAGGAGCAGAGGGTGCTCTGAGGTGCAGTCAGTGGTGGCCTGTGAAGTTAAATCCATAGATCTAAGATCTAAGAATTGATTGAAACTTAAAGAGTTAAAGATGCTGGGAAAATAATTAAGAGTGTACTGGAATCCCTGGCCTCTGGTTTGGGGAGATCTACAAGTGGAAATTGTATATGTGAAATGCAGGCTTAACTGCACCAGTAAATTTGGATTGAAAAAAATTGCTGTTTTAAAAATTGTACTGTAAATTTGTTAGACACAGTGTGCAGAGCCAGTTTACTAGAGCTAGAGCATAGTGACGACTACTAGTAAAATTGCTAAGTTATTTACATTTTAAATTGGTTTTGAGCTCCCCACAACAATCACGTTTAAGATCTGATCCCTGCTTGAAAGTGAAAGTTCAGGCAAAAAACCATTTGACTGTTTGTGAAGAAGGGAAGAGAAAAACATATTAGCCAGAGTATCTGAGGGAAATAGGACATTTGGCAGGGACACAGCCATGACTTAGAAGAGCTACCTTGGCAATTTCCAGTTATAACCAGTTTTGATTTGGCTGAACTGGGAAAATTTGAAAATTAATACCTCACACATCTCTAAGACATTTTAACAATAGCGCTTTAAAACATTGTGCGATGGCAGTCAGAATTGTGCTGTACACGTGCTGTTCAAGCAAGGCACATAACAAGCTTCAGTGACTGGAAGCTTGAAGTTAAAAAATTCCAATCAGAAACAAGACCTTCATGGTTAAAAACTTGCAGTTAACCGTTCAAATAACTTCCCATGCACCAAGCTCAGCTGGGGAACTATACAAGTAACCACAATATAATCATTAGGAATGTGCTATCTCTGTTCAGTTCACCCCTCCTACAATGTGTTAGTGATTTGTCATAACTGAAGAAAAGTCTTGCTAATCTTTTCTGTGAACAGGCTAAAGAGGCAGTGAAGGAAGCAGAGAGGTGTGATCCTAGGAGCATCTTCACTCAGTTCAGTGTGTATAAGATTGCAGTCTTGGAGGGTAACGCTGACAAAGGTAGAAATAATCGGGTTTAATTGTGCTACGTAAATATGAACAATTGATTATTTTGCAGTTTTACTGCTTTGGTCTCTCAAAACAAAGGATCATGCGTTTCTTAGGTAAAGCTATAAAAATAATAAATGTTAACAGTGACCTGCTGGCACCTTCTTAGCCATTATCAGGGCACAGGCCCAACTGAGGAAAATGGGCCTTAGCCTTACAGTGCTTCTTCAGTTGTCTCCCAGTTTCCTTCATCCCTGCATCCTTTGGATATGCTGTCTGTATCTCTTACTGTGACCTTCTATCCTGCTTCATCTAAGACCCTCTCCAACCAGACTGCTTTCCTTTATTCCACTGACATAGCTCTTACCAAAGTGTGATCATTTCAATTTGGCCAAATGTCAACTTCTCTGTTGTCTCTCTGTCTTCCTTGATCTCTCCATTACTTTTGAAACAATTGATCATTCTCTCTTTTCTTGATAGCTATCCTAGTCTTTTGTGACATGTGATTCTCTTTCTACCTCTCTGGCAATTCTTTTGATATTTTCATTTTTCCCTCTCCTGCAATTCTGAAGAGTTCTTCTGGCAGAAGACTTTAGAGGATGTCATCCATTCACGTAGATTGAGCTACCATCTTGATTCTGATTTATGTATTTGTCCCTCTGCCTTTGACTTGTTTTCTCCTGTCTGATGATATCTTGTCCTGTCTCTGACATCTTCTTTTGGATGTTTTGTGTCAGTATAGCCAAAACTGACCTGCTCAACTTCCTGCTTGGTTCCTGACATCTCTTCTCTCTCTTGTGGTTGACGCCTGTACCATTTTTCTCAGTTGGGCCTGTGCCCTGATAATGGCTAAGAAGGTGCCAGCAGGTCACTGTTAACATTTATTATTTTTATAGCTTTATCTAAGAAACGAATTATCCTTTGTTTTGCAGATTGTGTGTGCAACTTCCACACAGCCATGTGATGCTGTCCCTGTCTTATTGGCTGTCTGTTTGTTACCCCCATGTTTCATCTTGACTCGTCTTAGAGTGTAAAATACATGAGGCATTAGTAGTCTCTTACTACATATTAGTTCAGTACTCAGGATAGTGGGGTTCTCATTCTGCTACTTCAACACAAAATATAAAAGATCAGAAATAGTTGGAGGAAATGTTAAAAATCAGGATGTTGTCTAATGGGATAAAAGGGGCAGAGTCTGGGGACCATCAGTTCTCCCGAGGAGGGCCCTACAGAGCAATGAACTCTGCAGCAAATCTTACAGGAGCAGTGTGTGCTTCCCCAGCATGCAAACTTGCAGGGACTGGTCATCCCCAACTATCAGACCTTGTGCTACTATTCCTGGGTGGTCTCATGATAATCAGCTGATATAATATTAATGTTAAAACAGCAGAGTACAGCCATCACCTCAGCTTCTGTGAGAAATCCCACTCACCATTTTTCTTTGTGTATATTTCAGCGGTGGAGGCAATTGTTTCAATGGGGAAGCTAGCAGAAGAGCCAGCCCAGCACGAAGACAAGCTGTTGGCAGATGGAAGTACAGTAACCACCCTTTTAAGTTTAGCTGCCCAGATTGCATTAGAGGTAGTTAGAGCATAGCTTTCTCCTAGTTTTTATGCTTTATTTGCATATAAGTGCAGTAGTTGCAGCCTGTTCTACTTATAGTCTCTTTTTGCTCTGTGATACAGTAAAGAAGACCTCACAGCGTGGGCATAAATATACCAGATAAAAGGTATATCTTTTTTCCACTAAAGAAAGAATAAAAAAAAACTTATGAAGATTTTTGTTAAGGCGCAGATGTTAGTATTTAGAAATTGTAATCAGGTGCTTTCTTAGGAATTCTGTCAGCCATTGGCTACAGATTTTTTAATTTTGCGGGGTTTACATCTTGATTAATGAAGATGTTAGATTTAGAAGGGGAAACTTCCTACTCATAGGGTACTGACAGACATGGAAAAATAAAAACCCAGCTCTTTCCCAGGTGAGGCATGTCAGTTTGACCCAGCGACCGTATAGCTTGCACGCTTCAGCGGCACTTTCTGGCACTTTTATTTAATAGCTGATTCAATCAGCTATTAGATAAAAGCACCCCAAAGCCCTGATGAAGCATGTGAGCTACATAGACTGTGGGTGAGCCGGTTCAAACTAACATGATGCCTCTTCTGGGCACGTGCTGTGCTTGGTGCGGGGACACACCGAGCTGAAAGTAAAGCACTGGTTTTGGGGGTTTTTTCTGTGTTTGTTAGCAGCCATAGTGCTTAAAGAAGTCAGACTGGACTGGACAAGACTGAAAGACAATGAAAAGTCACTTGTCTCTTTTGGTTGTTTATAGGTTGTGACTGACTAGTGCATGCTCTAAATCAACAGTTCTTGGCTCCTGTTGCTTGTCTGCTGGGACTTTGTTCACAGCATTCCAGGTACTGATGGCTTCATCAGGCTGTGGATCCTGTTCTGTCCATGCAGTGATTGTGCTCGGGACTCAGGACTTTTCACAACGGGATTTTTCCTTGCATCTGAGAGTGTTTCTGCTCCAGAGTCCTTTTGCCTCTCCTCCATGTAAAGACCACAGCAGCCCAGCTGACATTTCCTGGTGAGGGAGGTAGTCTAAGGGTTAGCACAGCTTTTAGAAAATCTGCTTCTTGTTTTCAGAATGAACAACATGCCGCCGCTATAAAAGCTTTGGAGTATTTATCTCAGAACTCACAAGACTGCCAGCAAGTGTTTATAGCTTTAAAGTAAGTACTTGAGGTACTAACCTAACCATAAGGGTGGGGGATCCGTACTGTATTTCTGTGTTGCATCTGAAGTCAATGATAAAGTGTGTTGATAAAGTGAAGAAAGGAGTGGGAGATGTATGCAGTTACCCAAATATCAGCACCTTGGGGCTAGGCAGCAGCTTGTCTGCTCGCACAGTCGTGAGCACTTGGTGATTGTGCAGCTGTAGCCCTGTTCTGAACTATGGCACCTTCAGTTGGGCTTGTCTGAGACCTCTTCTAAGCAGAAGCTGTCAGTTGCTCTGGATTCATGATGATATGGATGAATGACCAGCAACATTAATGAAAGTGCAACAAATGCATTTGACTTGCAGCTCGTGATCCCCACAGGTGAAAAGGCCCAGTTCATGATGAATCCTGATTTTTAGCCCCTGAACCTGGGCTTTTAGATGACTAATTAATGTGTCATTGAAATGCATTATTCAAACAGAGTAGAATAAATAATAAGATGAACATATTTCCTTTTCTGTTTACTTAAGCCAGGTTGGCCCTGATTTAGTCTGAGATGTGAAATTTGTTGATTGTTTTATAATCTTAAACCTGGTCAGATTGCCTATTTTTATCAGTGGTTGTCTTAAACTGATGGCCTGGGGTCCCTTGGACCTTTAGGGCAGATGATGTTCGTGGAGATGTAATTTTTAAGTTTTATTTTCTGTATTTCTTTTTCATGTAGGTGTTTGATTCGTCTTGTCTTGTCAAAGGTCATAGCAGAGCTTGAAGACAAGAGGTGAGTCCATTTGCCAGTACATTTCCCTGCTGCAGCTAGCTGCTTAGTATGACGGCTATGTGGTGTTTATTTTCTTACAACATGGTCCTTATTCAAGCCAAACTTCCAGACTTGAACCACCGACCTCAGGTGTGACACTGCCTTGATCTTTTGTAACTTGTCTCCCAAATACTGCTCTGCCCTGCCTCTCTCCCATTAGCTGAATGCCAACTGAGCATTAAGTTAGTCCTCAGCAAGGAATGTGAATCAGGGAGCTCCTCCAAGGCTGATGATATCTCAAGTTGATGCTAGGATGGGAACAATGTAGCCTTCTATGGTAGACTCCAAGCACTTCACATTTGGATGCTGTGTTCTCATAAGCTCAAGAACTGAAGAGTCCCAGTTGTGGGGCTTGGATAGGGCGGCCATCCTGGAGAACAGCCTGGTTGTCCTCTGTTGATACAAAACCGGACACCTTTATGTCCTCTATTTTTCTCTTGTTAAAACCCAAGAGAAAATAGAGGACATAAAGGTGTCTGGTTTTGTATCAGTAGAGGACAGAGGACTGAGTATCAGAAAATTGGAATGTCCTCTATGATGGCCACCCTAGGCTTGGACCATGGGCCTACTTAGACTGGGCTCACTTGTTTGCTCTGCACCAAAGGAGGAGTTAATGGCATACACATTACTTTTGGTGCAGCACTGAAACAAGACTGTGCTTGAGTCTGGAGCTTATCTGCTAAGAGTCTCTTGCAGTGCTTCTACCATGGGCCTACAGCGCTGCAAATATACAGCACAGTGGGGGCTGCAGCACTCCTACTCCACAGCTTGCAACTCTGTGGGTTTTAATAAAACTGGGAGTTTTACTGTATTGCAGAGTTACTGTATTCTGTCATATTAGACCAAGTAGACAAGTGTTCTATAAAATCGTATAATCTCTGAACCAAAATAAAAGGTATCATCCCTGAACCAAGAGTTCTAGAGTTGTGCATTTCTATAAATCTGTTTTTTCCTCCATTCTAGAATGAAAGATCTGGACACACTTCTGACTTATTTGACCTTGGGTAGGTAGCTGTTTAATTTACACTTTCTGCTTTGTGTTCGTCTGTGAACATGGTTATGGTACAGTTAGTGCTGTGGGCTTCCACTCTGGAAAGCCTGCAGGGGAGTACTGAAAAATCTTCACTTAGCACCTGTACAGTGTTAGCTGCTTTCCTCAGACAGAAAGCTACCTCCTTCTAAGCAGTTCCCTTTAGGAAGCAAGAGTTATGCATACAGTCAAAGCAGCTGCTTGGGGCCCAATAATACTGACAGGGCCAGGGGCTCCAGACTGAGAGAGCTTGAAGTGGCAGTTCTCGGCTCACGCTGCATTAGCAGGAGCCAAAACAGCATCTTTCATAGGAAAGCAGGATATTCCACAGAAGGAAAAAGGAAAATTGCTGTGAGAAATTGGAAGTTAATGCTCACTTCCAATATATACTGCCCTTTCCCACCTCTTAACCAAATGTGAATCCCTTGCTTCCTGCACTAGAACGTTTTTGTTGCTTGTTTTCAGAAGACTCTTCTCCAGGGGAGAACCATTTACTTGTACTATGTTGTTTTCAATCTTCTTTTTCTGTCTTGGATAAAGAAGCTCATGAGAGCCAACCTTTACTCTTGTAGTGCCTGGGAAGGGAAATGGCAGGGAAAAGAGTGAAGAGCTCTTTTAAAAGGAACAAGAACAATATCCCAGAAGGCTGATGGGAGCATTTTCTTACCCCATTAGATTGATCCCAGCTGCATTCAGTCCTAATATAAAGGAGGTTGTTGCACCTTGTTTATCAGTCCTCTGTAACAGCCCTACGTATTCAACTGCAAATGCTACTTTGGGCACATCTTAATCTTTTCTATAAGATCTCTCTAGTCATTCAAGTATCTTAGGTCAAGGTTGTAAGTGCTACCTCCCATCCTGTGTTATGTCAGCCTTTTGGAAACCCATGTTGTGTGTTACTGTTAATGTAGGGTGTAGGAAATACATTTGTTCTGCTCAGGAAGAGCTTCTTATATATTTAATGCCACATTTTCTGCAGCGCATCAGAAGCTTGCCGAGCCTTTCACAGAAGGGAGCCTGACACTGGAACTAAGGACCCAGGTCACTCACTGGTTTAGAAAAGTGGGTAAGTGACACACCCAAAGGCTAAACAGAGCCACTGGCCCCATCTCTGTTAGACACAAAGAAAGAAGGAAATGATGGGATAGACTTGACTACTTTTCAGTGCCTTTGGGAATTCCCTTTCCAACCTGTTCCTGAAATTCCCCTTCTGCACACAGTTTATTCAGATACTGTCAGGCAATCATGTCTGGGTTGTATGGTGATAATTATCAGGAGAAGAATGGCACAAAAACAATGTCATCCAGTAGGTAAGAACCAATATAATTGTTCCCACCAACCCCAAGAATGTTCTCTGTCCCTGACAGAGCTCTGAAAAGTCCCTGCTTTTGTTCTTATTTAACTTTTTTCACTATTAAGATCCTGTTCCACAGCAACACTGCTCCTAGGTCAGGAGGACAGGACAGGAATATTAGCTGCTGCTTCTTCAACTGAATGAATTAGTTTGTATACTCAGAAGTGGAGCACTGTCAAGTGCCAGCTGGACAAGAGCAGGATTATGCAGCTGAAATGCATGTTCTTGTATGGCATACAGAGGAGCTCTTATCTCTGTTGACCATAGGGATTATCTTGATCAGACCCTTAAATCAGGAGCCCTAGATTAGGATTCTCCTTTAACCCTGGGAAGTGAAATTTAAAAAGAAACGGAAAGTCTTAACAAATAAAGCTCTTTCCAATGGAAAGTACACCTCGCATGTAATTTTCACAAGTCCTATTCACATTGTGTCTCTGGAACTTCATTCCTAGCATACTTCTTAGTGTGGCCATAGTTGTCTGCAGGTAAAAAGGTACTTCTCATCTAGAGTGATAACAGCAATTAGCAGAAAAATGTGTATCGTTTGATTTAGCTGTAAGATGCTGCCTTTGTTTGGCCTATTTGGAGATGGGAGGATTGGCATATACTGTTTACAGGTATAAAGAAGAACCTATGCTCATGCAGTGAAATAGTTTTTCAGAGCTCTACTTCGCTTCAGGGCACATGACAAAAGAATGTGTTCCAAATCAGGTGTATAAGTCGCCTGTGATACAATGACCTTCATAGGTACGGCCTTCCTTACAAGATGTTACAGAAGAGAAGGGGAGAAACAAAAGTTGGGAATAGAAGGCTCAAATATGGAGGTAACCGGCCTTTGGTGATATCTGAATTTTCCTGCAGCAAAGTTTTGGCTCACAGGACAAGCTTCTTATGCATAACTGAGAAAGCATATCCCAGGGAAGGACGTAGTATGTAGGGCGGAATCTGAAAAATTGCTGTAGAACCTGAGCTCCTAATTAGACCACTTAGGGTGTCTCTACACATTGTCGTATGGCGACATTGCTATGGCGCCATGCTTTTGGAAGTACTAAAGCACAGTGCTTTTGTAAATGTCACTGCTATGGCGCTGTAGCAGTGTGCTATACCTGGGGAGTGTGCCGCTACAACTATGTAGCTGGCCAGAGCATGCCATACGTCGTTGTAGTGTGTCACTGTAGGGTGATGTGTAGATGTGCCCTTAGATATTAAAATTCTACAGTGATGGGTAGGTACCACATAACTATCTAGAGGCATATATTGCTAATTAATACCAACGAGAGTTGTGTGCCTAATTCTTCTCTGAGTGAACCTATCAAAGTAGAAACTATGGAGACTGGTCTGAAGTAGTCATCTTTAATGGTATTGGGGATGGTATTGTAAACTTTCAGACAGATTGTCATCTTATTTACAACTTTATACAAGGTTTTTAAAGTTGAAGAAGTTATTCTGACTTTAAACCATCATGATTTAGACTGAAATCCGGCTCTTCACCCTTTATCTTGGTGTGAATGGGTATAGCAATGGAATAATTACTTACTGAAATAAAGGATTTGACAGCATGAATAACTTGTATTAATAGGAAAGCGCAAACAGTATTCTCAGCTGGTGTTAAATGAGCCCTTAATATTTATATTGTTTAAAACTTAACAGTGAGCCTTAACTGCCTCTTACTTGAGGTTTTATGGGCATAGCCTATGGCAAGTTGAAGTTCTTTATTCTCTTCTCCTGTTTATTCATTTTATGAGCTTGGAACTTGGCTGTACAGTTCGAGAACTGCCCAGGAACAATGAGGGATTTCTTCATACTGTCTTTCAAGGTATGTTTTTTTTTTTCCTAATGTTGCCTGTGGTATGAGGGATGGTATAGTGCAACTGGTTTTGTTGCAAGCTCCAGACAGATACATATGATGTTTCCTTAAAGAGCTTTACTTTGGATTGGCCACAGTGCGCGGTTTAGGAATTACTGTCACACTTTAAAACAGTCGTTTAAAACGTGGGATGAAAAACTTGGAATTAAAGGGCATTTTTTTTTAAATCAGTTGATTACTGATATTTGGTTAGTTTGGAGTTGATGCAATGTTGTTACATAGGAAACTGCCCCTACCGCACCTGCATGCAGAATTCCCATAACATTGTGCCTTTTATACACCTTCATAGCAGGGGGACTCCGAAGTCATTAGACCTAATTTTCAATGTCATTTTAAATCAGTGGCGCTTAACCTCTGGCTGTGGGAGCCATGTCATCTGGCCTGTGGGGCTTCCCTCAGGTCCAGAAATTTGGCAGCAGGGGAGCGATAGCAGCATTAATTACTCCCAGAGCCGCAACAATTAACGCTGCCACTGCTTCCCTGCTGCCAGATGCCTAGACGCACAGGGAGCCCCAAGGTCTAGATGACATGGCCATGCCAGCCAGATTGCACTGGCAAGGGGTCACACTGGGGCTGTATTTGGCGAGTGATGTCATGCTGTGGTTGGATCTGGTATGCAGGGTCCTGCTGCCATGCCAGGGTCCTGTTTTATGCATCTAAATCTCCCCATGCATTTATTAGGAAAGAGGTGGTAGCTCAGGTTTGCAGATTCCATTAGATGGCAGGGCACCCAGACGTGAGCTATGTCAGCTCTGAGCACAAGTCCCTGTTGTGGGTATAACCGACAGAGCCCCCACAGACTTTAGTTTTCATTGGATATTTAAAAGCCACTGAGGATGTGAACAAATGAACACATGACAGTGAGTTAAAGGGGAGGATGATTTTCTGCATGTCAGCTGCTCCACAGCAATCACTACTGACCCCTGCTACTTGCAGTTGTTGGTAACTGAATTGTGGTAGCTCGCCCATCCAAGGAATACGAGCAACTGACCATGGCTTAGCTTCCACTTACTACAGGGTTAGAGTGGGCACATGGGCAATTACTGCGGAGTAACAGAGGCTAAGTAGAAACTCATCCTCTTTTAACTAACTGCCCTGTGTTTGTTTTCCCATACCCTAGCTTTCACTTGTAGGGACAGCAGGCTGGGATTAATTTAGGAAGATTTCAAAATACTCAGTGGATCACATGTTTGAATTCTGTTCTTGTTAGGTTCTTATGTGGCCCTGATTGCGGTAGTAATGACCACCTTCTGGAATCACATTAAGTCATGTGATTATCCCCTGTCCTGTCGGGTTTGTTCTTTCTGTGTTGCCCTTCCCAAAGAAGGGAGTTTTTGTTCAGGATTATAGCTATTTTTTTAAGTATTTAAAATTGTTACATACATATCGTGTTCTGTGCTTATATTAGGGAGACAAATCAAAGTATGGTCCCTGGCACTTGAAGCAGACAGGTCTTAAAACTTAAAAACTGTCTTAATATCAAGGAGTCTCCCCTGGGAAGTGTGAGACTTGGCAGACCTGAACTATCAACTTTTGGGAGTGAGGACCTTTTGCAGACTTGAGACATGTTTAAAATAATGGCTGCCACTTTCACAAGGCAGTGGAATATTTGAAGCTTGCGCAGTGCTCCTGTAAAACAAGCAGCAGTGGTAATAATTTCAGTTCTTTTTAGGGCAGTGGGACAATCGGTGTCTGTCAGTGAGAAAAGGAGAGAGCTTTTGAGGAAGTTAACAGTACAGAAAGAACACACGAATGATTCAGCATACCCTCTAACACGTGTCCTCTAGCTGTACTGTCACTGTTTCTGCTGCTGCTGCGGTACAAACCAGGGATTAAACACAAAGCCCCAGAAAGGTCAGCTCCAACATAGTAGTGACATAATCTATGCTCTCCAAGTGGAATAAAACAAGAGCGGGGGGAAGGAAGTGGTAGTTAAGCCCCTGGAAAACTTGCAACTGAAGGAAACATAGAAATGATAAATAAACGTCTCTCTTCACCCCTGCAATAGGAAATATTTTCTTTTGCTGCTTACTGGTAGTGACCAGGCAGAATTCTCACTGATCGTTCATGTTTCTGGTTTCAGTTTTCTCAGTTCTGCCATCCTGATAAAGCTGTTCTGATTGCCCAGAAGACATGTCTGCTAATGGCTGCTGCAATTGGTTTGGAAATGGGGAGACAAAACATAGCACTTGCTGAACAGGTAAAGAGGTTGCACTAGCTGTTTTGTATCCTGTAAAGATGGGTCATGTGTGCAAATGATTTTCATTTGAGCACTGCTTCTTTTGGTGGTAAAATCTCAGTTACTTCCCTTAGGAACTGAGCTTGAAAATATAGGCCTTGGATTTTTTCACAGTATAATTAAAACAAATACATACGGGGCTTTGCAGACAAATACAAGATGCTGGACTGGAGTTAATTGGTCACATTGACTTCAGCAGAGCTAAATGGATTTACACCAGCTGAAAGTGTAGGCCAGTGTCATTGCCCAGAGAATTGTAATCTACAGTAAATTATTGAAGGATTGTGACAAGGAGGTGTGACTGGCAGACAGGGACTTTGACAATAGGGTTATGTAGTTGCTGAACGTGAGGTTAGTCATATGCATGTCAGAAAGGGCACAGGTATTTTATTATTTTTTTCCTGATACATATACACACCCTTCAGGAAATTTTGTGGAGGGAAGGCAGGGGACTGCTGTCTTCCTTTGAGAACAGTGTGTAGAGATGTGTTGCTTTCTTAAAAACCACATCTCTGCTGTGAGCATTGCCCCTAGCTGACATCTCTACAATCTTGTGTTTCTGTCATAAGGATTGAGAGACCAGCCATGCAGGAGCAACCAGAGCTGCCAATTGCCTTCACTGGTCTTCAGCTTGTACCCTTTGCTTCCTTTAGTATGTATGTTTGGTGCCAGATGCCTCTTGCCTTTGTGTTACCACCCTGAATTCTGGGTTTGATTTCTGGTACAACTGCAGATGATAATGGCCTGTGTTACTTGCTACGCCCTTGATTTAGTTTCTGGTTCCAGTGAAGGTGACAGTGCCCTGTGCTACTGGTGTGCCAGAGATGTTGGGATATTGGTTCAGTTTCTGATATGAAGCTTGTACCAGTCTCTTGCTTTCTAGACAGTCAGTCTGCAGAGCGTTGCACAGACAGTTTAGCTTTTTATAAGATTAAGTGCCTTGCAGCATTTGATAGCAACATTTTGTGGCTCCTGGTTAAAATAAGTCACATCCAACAAAGTCTGTCTTCTCTGTGTCTAGACTGCTAGACCCTTAAAGCATGAAGGAAACTTGAAGCTTTGACTCAGGTGTAGAGATCTTTAAAAAAAAAGAGGAGGAAAAGAAATCTGGGAGCAGATGGTGCATTAGGATTAGCCTGATTCTCCACTGATAATATAGCTACTTACTCTTGAGGCCTCTACTGAACTTCACTGTGAGAGTAATATACATGTTGCCTTTCAAAAAACATGACCTAAAAACAATGTATTAATTTTGCAAAGTAGATTGAGCTTCTGACTCAGGCTCTTCAGCACATCCAGGCATGCAGGGATATCTGGAAAGCTCTGAAGCCAACAGGTAAGCAAAGAAGCAAATGCTTTCAAGTATATTGGAGTAGCAGTTCTTAGATCAAGGTATTTCTAAACATCCTATCACCTTGATAATGAAAAATGCGGATAGTAGTGAACTATTCTCTCCCATTCAAGGCTATTGAAGCAGGTGTACGGCACGTTTTAAAGACTGGAGAAACCCACAGCACAAAGATTTGCTTGTGGAGAAACCCACAGCACAAAGCATCCTTGTTGCTTTTTCATTGTCTGGATGTCACTTAATCTTATTTAAAACCAAACAGAGTTCTAAAGGATGACTCTGCACAAAAATTCCCAGGTTTCAAAAACAAGGTCCACTCTGCCTTCCTATGATTCTCTGCCTTCCTACGATCCATTCTATGATTCTCTGATTCCTGCACTGTTCCATTTAACAGGAGAAAAGAGACCCAGATTTCCTGGTTTAACTAGTGGCACAATAGGCCAAGTGTTCAATGGTCATAGCTACACACCTAGGAAGGCCAGGGTTTCAAATTCACTGATTCATGGTTGACTAATTGCTTTGGGTTCAGGTGTCTCAACAGGTACAAGCTCAGTCTTTGTACTCTTGGATACTTTGCTGGATCCAGTTTGTGTTGCAAACTGAAGATTGAGAGGAAATATCATTGCTGTCCATAAATACATCAAGAAGTAAACACCAGGAAAGAACTATTTAAGCTAAAGGAGAGCATTGTCACAAGAACAAATGTATATAAACTGGCCAAGAGGAAATTTAACAGGAGGTTTCTAATCATCAAATGAATGACTTTCTGAAACAGCTTCCCAAAAAAGCATGGGGCGGGGTGGGGGCAAAAAGCCCCTAATTACATTTAAAATGGAGCTGGATCAGTTTGCGTAAGGGATTATGTGATATGGTTGTCTGCAATAGCATTGACCCAGGATGTCCCTTCCAGTCTTAGGTTCCAGTATAATTTTTGCTGTACCAAGAAAGCAAACATTTGTCTGAGCTCGCAGATGCCTTAAGTAAAATGGTATCCTGTGTATTAAGCTGTAATAATCGGTGGCATTGTTCACTATGACATCTTTTGGTAGCATGCATACACAGAACTGTAGTTGCCACACTGTGAATGTTACCTGCTTCTGTCACAGCTGATTTTGGCTCCTTCTGTTTAATGCCTCTTGCCTAAGAGCACTTAAGAATAGGTTGGTGGTGGTGTGCGTTGAAATGTCCTCTTTTCTCTGAAAGTCTTCAAGATTATTCTTTCACAGTCAAGGACAGGCATTCTACAAAACCCAGTCATATTCTTCTGTGCTCTAATTGATGGGTCCTGCACTACCCTGAAATATAGCCAGCTTTCTACTTCAGACTCTCCAACTTGGCAGATTCCTGACGAGGCGTCGA